TCTGGTTTTGCAAAATTTGATCAATTGAGAGAAAGAGAGGCATGCTAAGCCCTTAATGATCGAGATCATGCTTGTTAATGTGAGTACTGAGAAGGATCCTGACTTGATCCAGATTGGTTCCGCACTGTCTTCAGCTCGAGCGATTTGTCGCTGTCTTAAAAGATTTCAAAAAAAATGTTTTGCGCGATCCTGCGAAGAGCTGTGTGGAATCGCTCTTGAGATTGTGTAGCCTAGGATCGCTCTCAGCCTCAAGACTCGACCCCTCATTGTCAAACCTTGGACTTAAATTCAGAATGTTCAATGGTCAACTACAACGTGAGGCCTATGTGGCCAGATTCAAAGCAGCCCTCGAACAAGAGGCAAGAAAGTTAGATCAAGAAGACCAGATGTCATCAAAAGAAGCTTGCAAAGCTGGATCAGAAGCACCCCTAGAACTAGGGGCAAAGAATTTCAAATGTGCTCGAAGTGCCGAAGATGGATCATTCCACAAATCAAAGAAGGTCGGCAAGAATGCCAAATCCCAGAAGGAGGAAAGAAGAAAGTATTGCTGAAGAAAAACTGAGTTCTGCTCCACAACACTAGGGGCAAATTCAGCCCCCCATTGGATGGACTCCTGCATCGTCAGCGAACAGCAGCCATTCTCCTAGATTCAGATGACTTCGGTATCTCAAAACCATTTGACATGGACAAAGCTACACGTTTACCCTTGAGAGGCTCGCTGGGCCAAAAACCCGAAAGGGCGACCCAGGAAAAAGTTAGAGTAAGAAAAAAAAGGAGAAGAAAAAAAAAAGAGAAAAAGAGAAAAAATGCAAAGAATGAAGAAAAGATGAAAAAAGAAAAGGAAAAAAGAAAAGAAAAGATGAACAAAAATGAAAAGAATTGAAAAGAAAAGGAAAACAAAGCTCGCAAGGTTGAAAACCCGGAAGGGCGTCCTTGGCAAAAGTTAGAGCATAAAAGGAGAGGTTAATACCCGAGTGTACCTTAACCTGAACTATGTGAGGCTTGATTCCCATGTTTGGGATACGTAGGCAACTTCATCTTGAAGTCCAGCCCCCAACGCTTTCAAAGCGACTGTGTCCATATATTGGTTTTGACCATCTTCGTCTTCTCTGTATTCGAGAGCTCGGTTGTGATCATCACTAAGGAGGACTGTTTACAACATGCTGCGGCGTTATCCAGACAAGGGGCAACTTTCCGTTGCTATGAGTCGCCGTTCAAACCAGGGGCCATCCAAACAAGGGGCAATTTTTCATTGCCTCCAATCTGAGGTTGTGCATCTCGAGAGTAAGTTCCGTGCTCGTCGAGCATTGATCGTTTGCAAAAATAGTTTTTGAATTTTTTTTACTGAGGTTGACTATTTTCTCGAAAATTATTTCACTTTCCAAAACTAGACCATTTCTTGGACCCAAAAAAGGAAAATTTTCAGTGCTCATAACCTGACTTTCATGATTTTCAAATCAAAAATCGAGCAAGTATGTTAATCTAACTCTCATATTGGTCAAAATTGTTTTAGTAGAAAGCAAAAACAAATAGTGGTCAAAATGATGAAATAGGGGCACAGTTGAGTCAGGTTTTTTGTCTTTTCCCCTTTATCAACGCACTTGCCAGAAAGGGCACCATACCTGCTGGACAAGGGCACCACTGAAGCTAACCGCAAAAGGGCAAAAAGCTCTCACATCCTCCAAGCAACGAGGTATCAAGCCAAGTGCGAAGCACGAACTGAAATGGGGCCAGATATTCCACTCCCTCATCTGGGCAGATCTGATCACGTCCAAACTCCCCAGTAGGGCATCGTCAACCGATGTCAGCTCCAGATTTGCTACACACCCAGTTGTAGCGCAACCCCTCTGTGGGAGAAGCTCACTGTTGTGAGCAGAATAAAGAGAATCTAGCAGAATGCTAGGGGCATGAGCCTGCAACTTCCTGTTCATCCATCAACCACCCAAGGGAGGGATGAAAAATGAGAGACTGAAGAATAGAGAGATGTGTGATGAGAGAAAAAGTGAGAAAAGGGTTTTTCTAGAAAAATAGAGATTGAGTGCCAGAGTGATGTGAGAATCACATATAAGAAAGGGTGGGAAACAATACCCGAAGAAACTGGCTCCTGGTGAACTGAGAGGTCTCTCGTCTTTGTAACACGTCTATGTGTCGTGTCTTTTGTTTTGTTTGTCTCAATCCTTAATTTGAGTCGTTTCGAGTGTCAATAGATGTGCTTAGGTTGTTTACCTTTGTTGAGTCGTGGTGCGCTGTATTTAGTCATAGGCTCAATACCCAGTTGAGAACTTGTTCTCACTCTCAATTTCAAAAAATCGTTTTGTGTTCAGGGTGCTATGCCATTCTCCACATTTGTGCAAAACAGAATTTGTTCTTTCATAAAACCGCAGGGTTCAAC